GCTAAACAGATACAGAATTCCTTTGAGAGAACACAGGAGTTCCAGCATAATCATTAACAATCCCCCGTTATAATGGGGCCCAAAGGCACAACAGTAATGTCTATTTGATGTATTTATTAATGTAATTTTCATCAAGGTATACCTCTCTGAAGTTCCTCTAACCACTGAAACAGAAATGCAATCTATCCTATCTTGAGACCCTAACCAGAAGGCTTCCCCTTTAAAATATATATGAAGAGAGCTATTTCACTCACTACAAGAGTAATTTCACACCCCTTACTAAGTCAAAATTATATGGACTTTGCTCAGGACATAACCAAGAAAAAATATGTAGCTAAAATACTTTAACTAAAATAAGTGGGCTCCAGGTTATATATCATATTAATCTGAGAAAGACTAGTGAATGCAATTCAATAATCAGTTCTTCTTAACTCAGTCTACAAACAGCAGCAAGAAAGTAAGGAAACAAGATGATTAACTTACAAAAATCATATTTTCACAATTTCCCACCACTCATTTTCCTTCTTTTTTCCACACTGTGCTTTCAAAAAAGTCAAAGCCCTGATCCTACAGGTGGTAGGGTCCCTACTGTGATGATGGAATCATGGCCCAAGAGCCGCCAGTGCTCTGACCCCAGAGGCTGAGAGACCTGGGAAGCACCACTGCTGGGGCCCCACTGGTGATCCAACACCCACACTGAGGAGCCCAGGGCCCCAGCGACAAGGAGGGTCAGGCTGGTGGTAAAATTTAGCCAACTAAACCATGAAGAGCACTTCCATGGCATGTATTTAACTCTTGTGGAAAAAAAAAAATATTGTTCTTGTGCAATATCCTGAATGTTGCTTGAAGAATGGGAATAACTTAAGTGGACACAGACTTACTCCAAAATGCAAAGTAACAAAAACAAATCAAAATTCAGGTTTCAGGAAAGACAGTTCTTTTGGCTATTTCCACAGTTACACTTCACCACATGTATTGCACATATTCATTTTCTCCTGAGGTTTAAAGAACTATGCAGCACTTGTGCATGGATACTCTCACTTTGAGCAAAGCCACACTATTCAGACAGACCTTTAAATGCAAAATTTAAGTGATTAATTTCACCAAGTTCTACTATTAAAACAAGTCAAGATATATAATGCATTCTCTATAAGAAGGAATTTTTCTAGCAAATTTTGGGATTAGCCTAAGAAAAGTGTGAGACAATAGATTTTCACATTTTAATAAACATGTGAATGCTTGTGGAAATTAAAAATGAAAAAAGATTTTTAGTTGCAGTCTGTGTGCTAGATCATTGGTTTTCTTTTGCACTCCATCTCACTGTTCTCACAATGTTTATTGAGATAAACATGCAGGGAGCTGCAGGAAATGCATTTGCAGCGCTGTGGCTCCAGCTAACCTTAACCCTCCAAGGTAGCAGCCACAATGGTAACTCGGGAGAAACGCCAGCATCTGCTCAAGCAGGGGCAGCTATGCCCCACAGGAAAACCTAGGGCATAGCAGTGGAGCAAGCATCGCAGTCCTGCCTTCCACCACTGCCGAGCAAGCCAGCCTCACTGCCAAAACCCTGCAGCAGGGCCAGCCACAGCAGGCACCGCACACCCCTGCAGCTCTATGTGTGGTCCCCACAGACACAAGCCAGGGAAAGGACAGGTAGAGACCCCAGGCAAAAGCAGAGTATTGTGTGCTCAGGCAGCCCCTCTGCAATAGGAAGCATTTTGATAACCATGCTGCAGTCTGTCCAGGAGCAGAGAAACAAAGGTCCAGCCATGCTCTGCTCACCTGTGAAATACCTTGCATTTTACTGCTCTCCATTTCATCAGGCTCTTTGCTACAAATGCATGCTAGCTTTTTCCTTTGGAGACAGGTATAGGTTCAAGAATTCCCTCTTGCCACCGTAATTTCTCCCACAGCTACCTGGGTAGTTCAGTTATATAAATATTGACACAATGATACGTATTAATTTTTTTTTTTGCTTAGCGCTAAGACTTTGCTCAACATAAGATGCTTGCTTCAGTGAATATGTTCATTAGCAGAAAAAAACGAACAGGATTAGAAGATACACTTTCAAACAGGATTGGTGATTATTAAAAACAGCCCCCCACATCATGCTGATATCCATGTGCAAGGAGTCACTGAGCAGAATAAGACACCTGCTTATGGACCCCCTAAATCCCTGCTCCCTGGCATCACTGCCATCTGTATAGGAAGACCTGACCACTCTGCTTATTGACTAAAGCTCAAAGACAGTGTTTATCAGGGCATGTACAAGGTAATAAATGTAGTCAAAACAAGATATTTACAAATACTTCTAAACAAAAAGTAGTGTGTTTTTTTTTCCTGACCTATGCTGCCTAGGGGGTTGCACACAGACTGAGATTTGAATAAATATTAAAACGCACACAAGAAGTTTCAGAATAGCACCACAGAAGCAGCATCCCATTTCCAGTCAGAGGAAGTTTCTAGATAACTGCCCACACAATACAACACAAGGAAGTGCCAAAACACTCAAGTCAGAGCAACTGGAGTCACACAGCCCTAACCAAGACATCAATCTGTTCTATACCAGGCTGCAACTGAAATGAGAGCAAGCACACTGAGAACAGCCTTAATCTCAAATACCTACTGTTACACCATTGTAGGATACAATTTCTCATCACTGAGAGCCCAGCAAACAGTTGCAGGTGTCAAGACAGACTGAGTTGCCCAGTTCTTAAAAGTATGAAACAGCAGCATGGCTTACTAAGTTGGATTTGTAATAATTTGCCATAAAAAAATAAGGGGATACATACTGTATTTATGTGAGGTGGGTCAATTCATGTATCATCTAAGCAAAACAGGAGCCTATGTTATTTCTATCATTAGTTATAATTAGAGAACTCTAATCAACCCCCTGCCTGCCCCAGTGCTCAAAAGTGTTTGAATCTGCAATTTTACCTGTGTTCTTCATTAAATAAGAGGAAAAAAAGGAAGAGAAAGTCATTCATGAAATTCCCATCCATAACAAGATTTTTTATTTTTGAAGGTTTTTTATTTTAGAAGCTTTTGCATTCAGCATATACATCTTTTAAACAGGCATGTTTTAAACAGGAATAGTTTTCCTCCTTTACTATCTCCAATAACAATTCACAGTATGCATAAATTGATATAATCCCTAATAAAGATATTTCTCAGTCCCCTTCAACAATAATTATAGGATTTTGGTGCTGAGAGAGAAGAAACGCAGATCTTTACCTTCTCTCAATAAGACAACTGCAGGGGGTATTCATTGCATACACTTTCTGGTGCAGAAGGGCAAAATTACTCAAAAAGCTTCAGCATCTTGAGTCTCAACTATTTCCAACAGATGGTGCTGATGACATAATTACTAATGATTAAATTTCAACTTTTATTAGTGAAGGATTTTTAAAGGCATGGGTAAGTAGAGTCAAGCCCAGACTGATCTCTTCAGTGGAGTCACCCTGACTACATGACACCAAATTTTACTTCCACCTATTCAACAGGTTGCTTTCTGCATTTCCACTAGGTTTCACAGAAACACTGGGCAAGACCCTGTTCCCATTTATGTTGCTGAAGACTAGAATCAGTGATCCACCTCCTTACAGGGGTCATTGATTTCAGAAGAGGCTAGATTTAATAGGTTCATAGATACAGAGGGACAATTAATCTTTTTTTTTTTATGGTCATATCACTGCCTAAAGCGATACCATCCATATGGGCTATAACATGAACAAAGACTTGATTTGAGCTAAATGTTTCACACTTACAACCAAACACCTGCTGTTAACAGAGAACCAAGGAGATTGTGCTGCCTCCACCTGGCACTTCTACACACATAGGAAATCAGTCTAAGAGACTCACACAGCTGATCTCAGAAGCCTACCTGCACAACTGCAGGTTCTGCTTTGAGACACCATGTTTCTGCTGATTGCTGGGATGATGAGTCTGTGGCAAAACCTGCTGGTCAAACATCTGAGGGGAATATCCTTGTTTTCCCCAGAAGCCCAGCACCACTTACTGAGAATTTTGTTTCAGACACAGCTAATTACCTATGCTTTAAAGAACCAGTGAGATTTAATAGTTCCTCTCTCCCTCCCCTCCACCTCCCACCCATCCTCCCATCCCCCCATTAAATTTGTAAGTCTCCTAGAACCTAGAATATAATAGGCAGAAGCTCCAAAGCAGAACATGTTTGGCTTTCCTGATAAATAGCTACACGTCAAACACATAGCCCCAGAATAAATAAATAAATAAAAGCTCTAAAATATCCCAAGTATGTGCTGTGCTCAAGCATTAATCAAGCCAGAGCATAATGGGTACTTGAATCTCAGGGGTTTCAATGTTTCTGAAGCATGCAAGCAAGAACCTTTCCTGAGAGGCTTTCTAAACTGGAATCAGAAAGTGCAGCGTTCATCAACTCAGACAAACCTGTCTTAGTTTTATCAGAATTTCAGCATCCCGTTTCCTAGAAAGAAGCTGTGAGATAGCATAACACCAAATCCAGCATGTGCTGTTCCCACCATACAGTGTGACACATTGAGTGCAGTCAGGTGAACTACAGGAGCAAAAGAGCAATAAAGATAGGAATCAGTTACAACCTGTTTGTTCAGCTTATCTGGAATAAGGTGTTTGGTAACTCTCATAGATACACACACTCAGAAAAATAATTATCCCAGAACTCAGCTACTATTGTCAATGTAAGCCCAATTGGTGAACCAGACAAAGAGACAAACCAACAGCTCTTAGAGTTGCAGTGATACCAGCCCTCTTACAAGCCCATTACTCATGTGGTCCAGGATCCAGGCATTTCCCCCTGGAACCCAGGGAGTTCACAGCCTGACCCATCACTCATCAGCAGTCCATGCCTGCAGGGCTGGGCCTCAGACACTGAGCAGAGCAGCTGTACAGGATGAAATAGCAAACTAGCTGGAAAACTGTTAAAGTGCTTCTTGTGCACCATACCTACTTGGCACAAGGTTAAAAAGGACACACGCACCAAATACAGCCAAATGAGTTTTTGTAACAGGAAAATCAAAGTCACTTTAGTTCAGCCCAACATACTAAAGGATACATTAACACTCTAGTGCTCTCAGATAAGGACAGAAGTACAAAAGCACTGCATGTACAGGTTAAGAAAAAAAAAAAAGTACAACTCAGGCTCAAAAACTGCTAAGGTATTGAATTTACTATAGTTCTTCCTACATTTTCTACCTCCCAGCAACCCATGGAATCTGTCCCACACTATGTGAATTCTGATCTCCTAGACAGTTCATGGACATCTTTCCATGCCTGAGACATCCCTTCCCAGAGTGCAAAGTCCTTCTGCCTCGCTAGGTGGGACAACACCGCTATTGCATACTGGGTGGCATAGGGATAACCAGAGCTTCGGAACTCTGGGTCATGTTTTCCAGTAACATACTCTTCTCCATCACCATCCATAGATGCCTCTGCCCATTCATCTGCACTAACAGCCTGGCTCATCCCCAAAGCCGCCTGTGTAGCCATCTGTACAGATTGATGGGTCTGATGGAATTGCTGAAGCAGTCACCTTGTACACCAAAAGCCTCTTACATGCAATGTTGCAGTTCTAAGAGGTGTAGAGAGCCTACCATTAGCAAAAAGTATGTTAACTTGTAGTGGTTTCCCATACCAGCATTTTCCAGCAGGATTAGGAATAAAAACAATTAAACATCATCACAGAATTTCAAGAACATATAATCTACCTGCAAATTAAAACTAAGGAAAGAGTTAAAAACGCCTCTAAGGATACCTTACACTGTTGTGTGGGCATGTTTTTCATTGCTGTCAAGCAACAGTCAAACACATTTTATGCTGGCTGTGTCAACACTCTTCTGGGAACTTCATTTAGCAGTGAGACTACAGGTAATTCAGACACAGTGATGCACTCCACTAGTTTCTCAAACACTTCATTGAACAAGGACAGCTTAACACAGTAGTTCTCACAGCAGCCAGATGAAAGACACCAATTTTCCTGTAGTCTTCATTGTGTATCTTGGTATCTCCTTCATCAACAAAACTCACCCTTTCAGAGTCTGCTCTATTCACTGCTATCCCAGATCTATTATCTCACTTAGATAAAACTGCATGTTATTTGCTCAGCTTTAGCCAGAGCTGTGGCTCTTCCTCAACACCATCAAAAGACTGTTTCATTTCATGGGAAAAATATCTCAGGTACCAAGTACAAATGGCTGTGTTCAGAAGCCAGCTCCCCGAGGAAACACTGAGCATGCACAAATGCACGACCTGTTTTTCTAACAGCAGCTGGCAGAACCTGAAACACCAGGTAGAGAAAAATATGTTTTAACATTGACCATCTCTATCAAATGTTTCCCACTGCAGGAAATAGAAAGCATTCGCTCTGCAAAGTTACACAGGAAAAAAATGGAAGAAGCATTTAGTTGCTTCCTAAGAAATAAGGCTAACTTGCAAAGTACAGCTGTGTACAGTCATACCTGCAGAGTCTCTCAGACAGCCCACGCTTAACCAGCTTGTAACCCCTCACCAGTTTCAGCTAGCTCTAGCAGAGGAACAGAAAGCCATCTCCTAAACTCTTAACAAAAACAGCTGGTCAAATAGCAGAGATATTAAAAATATTCTTACTGATTAAAGAAAGAAAATACAACAAAAGCCTACCTGCGGTATTTGAGGGTTCACACAAGGAAGACCTTGTGGAGGCACGGTTGAAAATATTTACCTAGCTGAGGCACATGAGAGGACCAATTTCAGGGAAATTTTCTCTCCTGTGGAGAGCCTCCGAGATCTATTAAGTGTTAAGTTCTTGCTATAACTGCAGGAGTTAAGTTAAAAATCTGATCATTCATGTATTACAGATTGAAAATGAGGATTTTTGGAAAACATGATGACTTTCCCCATGGTAGGGAAAAAGTCACTTATACCTCTTCTGCTCACCACCTTACCTCCAGCCCATCAGGCAAAGTACCTTCACATGTGGACTCTGCCTATGGGTGAGGCAGCTTTTACAGAACAATTTAGGAGTCCTGCTCCTTGACAAAAAAAAAAAAAAAAAAAAAAAAAAAAAAAGCATGTTCTGAAACTGCTGCCTTTTCACTGGAGGTATCTAATGCATAGGACTAAGGACCTAATCAGCAGAGGTATCTATTACAAACTTTCTTTTCCTGTAACCCAGAACAGGAGATACTAGTCCTGTGAGCACCTGCTCTGTGCTGCTGGAATTGTCTCTTGCTACTGCAAATGTAAACACACCATGGCCTGCAGCAGTCTCCAGCTCACCACCAACTCCCACCAGCCTCCAGGTCACCTATCTCCTTGTAAGCTGCTCCTCTCGTCAACTTCATTGTGCCATTTTCTCTCCCCAGCACCTACACAGTCCTGCCCAGATGTAACCTGTAGCCATTTCCAGATGACAGACATTGCCTTGGGTTGTGTTATTTCCACAGAGTGCATCACTGTTGGCATTGTCTCCTGAGACAGAAGCTTGGAGCTTCACCTTGCTCAGCCTCTTCTCACTACATCCTCAGACAGAGTACACAGCTCAGCCTACCCAGCCTCACTGGCTTGTCAAATGCTTGTGGTTCTGTTGAAACCAAGCCCAGCTCTCCCATAGTTATTTGTCATCTCTGGATCATGTCCCCAGATTTAGCCACAGCAGCCTTCACTACCTTTGCACCAGGAAAGCCTGTGCCAGGGCAGAGCTGCCAGGAGCAGCACGCACATACCAGCGATGAGCGAGCTGAGGGTGATCCTCGTGTGAGGAGTGCCCTCGCTGATTGGCGCAATCCCACAGCACCTGAACAGCGCAGGCAGAGCTGGGTGCTGGTAATTGCATTTGTTGATAGTCCTAGATAGGGCAAGGAGATGAATGAAGTCCAGGGTCAGTCCAGGGAATACAGTCAGGATCAAAAGGAGATGGGCCTAGAGACAGGACTGGAAACAAGACTACTATGTGGTTTCAAGCCCACTCAGGAGACAGGGCAAAAGAGAGAACTGGAGATAAGCTACCACTTACATCTGAGGTCCATCCAGGAAACAAGCTACCTACAGTATAGCTCCAAGGTCTATCTAACAGAGGCACCCCTGTTACTTCACTCAGGCAAGGACAGAAGGACAGGGCCTGAGGTTAAGTGTGGCTCCTGGAGCCATGGGCAGACAGGTGGCTGGGAGGCCCAGGTGAGGCTGGTCAGAGCAATCATGCCTTTTAGCATTCAGGGTGGCCCTGATGTTGGCCTCTGTCCTGGGCTGGGGGTAATGCTGCTTTCCCTCATTTCCTACCTGACTGCTGCACACAGTTCTCTGCACTGCTAAAAGTTGCTTCTGCCCAACCACGTGGGGACACCAAGAAACCTAGGAGGGTGTCTGAGCAGCAGCATCTAGCTATGCTGCCACCCCAGTCTACAGAGCTAAGATTGTATCTGTCTAATCCACTCCTAAAGTGGCAGATAAATCTTGTTTTCAGAAATTAAGCCTGAGGAAGAAACCAGCTCTTTAAATAGAAGTTAACCCCAAAGCCCTAACCCTGTCCCAAGGTTTTAATTTGCATGCCTCAAATAAAAACTGTATGTGGTTTTGTGTTTTAGCAAGCTAGATCTCAAACATTACTTGTTTTTGCACTTGCAACCAAAGACCACAGCCAGCAACGAAGAAAACTTCCCAAAAGGCTCGTGGCTAGCCTACTGTGTGCAGAGGCAGGCATCAAAATGTTACAAGGCAGAGTTTTGGGGAGTTGGAGCTTGGAACTAGGGTAACAGATCAGCCACTTCTAGCAAAACTAAGGCTTGTTGGAGGAGGCCTAGGAGAGCTTTCTGAAAGTGCTCACCATACAAGTAGGCAGTAACATGAGGACAACTTGAGTTCCTTGGGGGAAAGTCTATGTCCTGAGCCTCAGAGACTTCAGCAGGAGGCTTCATACTCCCAGCGTGTGAACCAGCAACAGAAGGAAATTGACTGTGAAAACTGCTGAAAATTAGAGAGAAACTGCTTGAGAAGTATTGACAGAATAAGTGATTTTCTTAAAAAAAAAAAAACACTGCAGATAGGATTGCTCTGAAAAGACGCAAATTTTAATATGTATGTATCATGTGATAATATCTTATAGTGCACCATGTCTAGGATATATTGATCAGTACAAAGAATCAACAGAAGCAGTGTTCACAACCTATGCTGTAGTTCTTACTTATGTGGTACATGTACTTACTTCAGCCTTATTTAGACAGATTTCAAATTACATCCCTAAGTAGATCATGACCAGGTTCCTGAAAGGGGTTGTGTGGGTAACATTGCACCCACAAATCAAGATCCACTTCCTGCAAAGAAGCCATTTTGTCCTTCCTGTTAGGAGTGCAGGAGTCATTTTACAAGGATCAACGGTAATTGCTACAAGGCTTAGTGGAGTTTATATAGAAACTCTCCAATTGTCTATCATGAACTGTCAGATATGTGACAGCGTAAAACAGAAGGAATCATACAAATAACTCTAGTGCAGCTTCTAAATATAAAACTCAAAATAATGTTTGTGAATGTTTTTAAAAACACTCAAAATGACAAGGTCACTGTTGAAGCTACAGAAGTGTTCTATATTTGCTAGTGTAGATTACAGCAAATCTAATAGTATTATTTTCCAATAGGTAAATCTTGGTGGGAAAACCAGTTTTGTGTATTGTGAACAGCACACTAGCTCCTTTTTGCATTGGAAAGTGATTAAAAAATGATTAAAAAATTGACTGAGAGGTTCCCCACCCCCCACCCCCATATGACCACTGATGCTTCAGCAATTATTGAAGGGGGAAATGCTCCATTATCTATTCCGTAATTTTCAAGATGACAACAAACCGAATGCTTTGAACTTTGGCAATGCACCATCATTTGCCATTGGTAATACTAGCCTTAACTTCATGGAATACTGCTCTTGTATATGGATTAATAAAAAATTAAAATGGTGTTGCTTCCAGCTAAATGCCTAGGTCCAAGGCTGCAAATTACAGCAGAGAAAGCTATAAATAGATGAGAATTTCACCTTAGAAGTCATATAAGAGAGGTCTTAATTTTTTCATTAGCAAGAAAAGCTGAAACCTTTAGAGTTGAACATTTCATTTTATTAAACCTGAAAAAAAAAAAAAAAAAAAAAAAAAAAAAAAAAGATGTTGAAGAATATACTCTAAGTCAGGAATACAGATATGTATACAAGGTCAGGATTATCCAAGGATTAAAGCTGTAAATGAAATGGAGGTTATAGAAAGTACATTTTAGAGATTAAAGTTTTAACTTCCACAAAGCACAGAAAAAATGTTCAATGTTACGATCTTCGAATTAAAAGTGAATGTATGAACAGTCAAATTTATCAAGATGCAATAAGAAAATGGTAGGGTAGAAAGGTTAATGAAGAATTATCTGGTTATAAATGTAGATAATGTAAAAAGTACATTGGAGAACAGTAACAGAAAATAGATATTTCAGCTAGTGATATACTTTGATTTTAAAGTAGCAGATTTCATTAAACAAACTTAACCTGTTTCAGTCACTTTCCCTATGGAAAAGAAATGTTGACTTTTCAGGGAATCCTGGGAATTACTGAATGACTGAAATTTGACAAGTAACTGATTATGAATCATTTGTCTGGAGATTTTTAGTGAAAGATTCAGCACAGATCTCATGCCTGAGTAGTCTTTATATTAAGACTACGAGCCTGTCTTCAAATACTGTTCCTCCTAAATTTGTTAAAACTTGTGGAACTTATCATTTTCTTAAATGCAGTAGTAGAAAGAACATTTGCTTGTGTAAGTAGATTTCAACAGACTGCAGAAAACTGCTAAACATAGATTTTACTAACACTGGGCTTAAGGTTAAACTAGAAGTTAAAAAATATGAAAAAAAAAGATCTGATTCAAAACAGCCAAGATGTATGAAAATATAAAGCAATAGTCTGAATAATAATAATGATGAAATAGAGTTGTATATTTGAAGATATACACTGGAGGGAAAAATAAATGTTGCAGTGCTCTTTCCCTAAGACATTCCTTCAAGCTGAGAACTTTCCTTTGTTTTTCATGCGGTTTCTTACTTTCATCCAAGAAAGACAGATGAACTAACCAAGTGCCAGAGCTAGCAATGCTGTTGTAGCACTCCTGGACATACAGAATGGCCTGAACAAGCCCACATAAGAAGGCAGAGGTGAAGAGGAAGGGAATTTCAGGTAAGAAATACTGGAGGGCAGAGTGGTGACTGTTGGCACGTGCTTTTCCTACACATTTCCATTTACTTCAAAGTCCTCTCTGGAATGCTACTTGCAACAATTTCCCTAAGAAGCCATTTTCTGTGCCAAGGAAATACCACTGACCATTACTCATTTTAGGAAAAATAATCTGCCTTTTTACAGAGGAGCTATAAAAATAAGTACAATTAAAAGAAAAAATAAGCAGCCATGGATCATGTCTGACACAGAGCCCTAATCTGTCTCAGTCACCTGATTTTTTAGCCATCTCCCACTTCCAGCTGTTCCTCGCCATGACATTTCTGACTCTCGGCTGGTGGCACCAGGAGCCAGTGCTGTCCTTGACAGTGCACCAGTGCCAGGAGGTGCTCCAAGCATGGAGCTGGACAAAGACTGGCTGGATTAGTGACTGCACTGTTCCTCTGCTGGGCTCAGCGCACCAGCCTGGCCATGGCACAGCTGCTATGGGTGGCAGGGTCTGCCTGGCTCATCAGCCCCATCTGTGGGGAGAGCCTGCTGCAGAGTAGGGTCAGGACCGTACATTGCCTGGCATGGGCTTAGCCAGGCAAGGTGGGATTTGTGGCCATTGGGAAGAGATGGGCTGCAGAAGTTTTAATTTTGGATTAAGGGAGACCTTTGCCACCACCAGTTAGCCCCATGCTCCAAGTTGCTCCTGCATTAGTGAGTGTTTGGGCTGCCTGGCTAATTGTGGCATGCGAACGGCAGGCTGCACAGATGTCAGATGTCACGCTCTATCTGATGAAGAGGTCTCTGCCTCAGGCTGTTTATATATGACCTACCAGAATTTCCTGCTGCATGATGAAATAATTAGGGGGCCCTCATGCAGGGAATAATGTTGTGAGTAGGTTGCAAAGGCATTACACATACAAAAAGAAAATCCTAAGCATTTTCCTTATCTGTGATATAATCTTCCAAGACGCCTTATATACATTCAACTTGTTTGTATTATTTCTTTTAAAGTTCTTCATACAGATGCTAAATGAAGGCTTAAGAAAGTTTAGCAGCATGCTTTCCTTTATGCTCAAATTACATAGTGGGAATAGTGGCATAAGCAAACAGGAAAAAAGGGAGATTTATTTGTTTGTTTTAAATCAAGATTGTCTTTTGCCTCTTAAGGCAGCGAACTCTAAACTGTGGATAGTTTAGTAGAAGTTGATCTTGTCATCAAAAAGAATCTCATTTTTGTGGCTCTTCTTTTTTTCTAATCAGTTTTAATTTGTAACTTTTTTTATACATACAGAGACTGTCCATATGCCCACAGACACACCATGTCCTGATTGATCTCACCCCTCTCCTCTCCCAGCCCAGTACACTGGAAAGCTGGTTAGAGCATGCTCTTGATTTCAGTCTGGAACAGTTTAGCCATGACTATCAAACTTTCAGGTGAAACATAGAAACATGAGGTAAGAATCTGACCTCATATGTCCTGATGTCCTGAATATGTCCAAGCAGCTGAACCAGGTTGAATTGAGCTTCTGGCTGGCAGCAGTGGATAAGCTGGTCCAGGCAGGAGCACAGAGGGAAGCAATGTCCAGAAACAGCCTCCCAGTGGAGACTGGCCAAGCTGATCACTTGTGCTGGGGCTGTGGCCAGAGCCCCCAGCCCCTGCCCCTACAGCCCCAAGGACAGTGCACAAGAAGGTTGCAGGCAGCAAGTGCGGCTGCAGGCACACTGAGCCCTCCAAGAAACTCCTTGGTGTTTTGCAAACTGAGTTTCAATAAGGTGGCAAATCTGAGATGAGAGATGGAAACCATCTTAGAGGAATGACCTTGTTGCACCTTGTGCATTGCAGAGCTGCTTTCCGAGGCCGTACAATAAGCAGAGTTAGAGAGAAATGGGACTTTTCAGTCTGGAGGACAGAGAGCTCAGGATGGTCTTACCATGTATATAAATACCTGGTGGGAGTGAATGACAAAGAAAGAGCCTGACCCTTCTCAAAGCTGCCTAGTGACAGAACAAGTGGCAATGGGCACAAACAGAAATATGGGAGGCTCCATCTGGGCATAAGGAAACACTTTTCCACAGTGAAGGTGGTCAAATACTGGCAGAGATTGCACAGAGAGGTTGTGGAATCTCCACCTGTGCAGATACTCAGAACTGCACTGCATGTGGTCCTGGGCGTGAGCCCGCTTGAGCAGCAGGGTGGTACTGAATAATCTCCAGAGGTCCCGGTGAACTGTAGGTATTCGGTGATTCTATGATTCTGTGAAAATCATAGTAAGATTGTTGGCTCAGAAAATACTGTGAAGTGCCTAGAAGGTCTTCCTGGAAGCCTATTTAATTTGCACTTATTCTAATAACTATTTACAGTGCAGTGAAGAATGCTACACTAAATTCTTTCAGTGGGAGACAAAGTGACAGTTCTTACCCTTCCCTTCTTACTGCTCATGTAACTACATGGACCACTGTCAGCCTCAGGACATCCCCTCTGTCTTTCTTAGAACAATTACCTGCTTGGATAGATACTTTGTTTAGAAATGTATTTTTTTTTCTCTTTTTTCCCGTTTCCAAAGCACGTTATTATTATTCTACTAAGGGAGTCTTAGAAATGGTATTTGCATTGGTTTTGAGAAGACAAAAATATTAGATTAACCCTGCAGTTCAGATTAAGAAAATAAACATATATATATACATAATTTGCTGCATAATTCATAGCCTGGTAGCCTGGATTTTGACTGTTTTATTGCTCGTCCAGAAGGAACGTGAATTAGTCATAAACATGTCATTAAAAAAACAGAAATCTTTCTAGATGGTTACTCAAAATGGGGGTATTTTCACAGAAATGCAGTAGTAACAGAAGACAAATGAATTTCAAAGTTTTTTCTAAAATCCTCTTATGAATTGTAAAATAATTTTGGTTGGAAGAAACCTTAGAAGGCACTCTGGCAACCCTTACTCAAAGCAGGGAAACTTTGAGAGTAGATCAGGTTTCAGTGTCTCCAAGGATGGCGGCAGATGAAGGCAAGCCAACCCCCCACATCATTTACCTTTGCTTCGTAGTCTTTCCAACAAAGCTAGTATCTGAACCCCTGCAGTCTATGTTTATGCAGAATGGCAGTAACAACATCAACAACAGAGGTAAATGCACATTCCCATTAGTAACTGTGTATTAGCTGCTAACCAACCAGACCCTATTTGAGGGAATCAGTGGGTATGAGTCCAATAATATTTTAATTTCTCAGCAAGGTGCAGTATAAAATGGGTAGTTTTGGATCAGATCACTACACTTTTTTTTTTTTTTCTGGCATCTTGACTTCCCATTAACTCCTCTTTTTAACTTTGATGCATCATGACACACCCCAGTGTTGAACAGACTGGGCTGAACCATACTAATTTATTTACTTCTTACATAGTCTTATAGTCTCAAATAATGCACCCAGACATACTAAAATACATTTCAAAGGATGAACTCCACAGATCTGCCAAAGTATTCCAACAGCTGCCATAAGTTTGCCTCATTTCAAGACTTCACGCAGAGCAAGTGACCTCAAATGATCAAAAATAGGATAATAGGTGAACACAATGTTAAAAAGAAGAGTTTACAGTATGGTGGCCATATATATTTTCATGGTTAGGAAAGCTTGACCATCACTTTTGTTAAAGCACAACGTGGAAAAGAGATCCACGTTTCCTAGATATGAAAAAATATATGTCATTGTTCTACAGATGTGGAATATAAATCCATTTCTAAACTGTTATTGCAGTCTTTCTTAGCAGTCTTTCTTTCTATTTCTAAATTATCTCAGCAGTCTTTCTTTCCATTTCTAAATGGATCCTGTCTTTCACCAACTGAAAGTTCAAGCACAATAAACTTATATTTCTTCTGGTGCATGTTGTACGTACACGTTTCAATTCAAATTATTTCCTAAGTTAGGTTTGTACATAACACTATGTACAGTACTACTAAGAAAGCCTGGAATAAAATTAACATTTTCTTGATCTTAGTCCTCCATTTGGCTCACTATTTGATAGCTTTTCTAGCTATATCAAAAAGATACAGAATAATTTGTTCACTACCATTAAAAGCATATAAATATTCAGCATGAGTTAAGTCATTGGGTGGAGAGAACAGCTGATAGGATAGGGGTGCATCTCACATCAGTAGCAGCAGTATTCTGCCCTCCTGAATAAGACAGAATGGTATTCCAGTGTGCTGATATCACAAAGAAACCACTGCCAGATCAATTTAATCTTCTTATTCTCTGTGTACTAGTGCACCTTTGGGAAAAAAAAAATAAAAAATTCTCTTGCTCATGTACTTGAAGACTACAACCATAACAGATATGAAGCTAACTATCATCAAGGCCACTACCCGTTTGACCCTTTGACAGCAGACACTCCTTTCTGCAAGGGAAAATCAGCAATGATATATGATGAGGGAAGGGACTGCCTTCCTCAAGGACCAATTTAGCACAGCAGGGGAAAAGTAGCTAAGGCAATATGCATCTCAAAGCAGTAGAAAAATTAAAGGCAGAAATAGGAAGAGTGGGTTTGGAAGGCAATGTAAGGGAGGAAAGTAGCAGTAGTAACCACAGGAAGAACAACTACAATAAAGACAGTGGATACAGAAGAGCAAATAGATTCGAGTTAAAAAAAAAAAAAAAAAAGAGAGAGAGAGAGAGATTGAGAGAGGAAAAAGCACCTAACAGAAGAGCTAAGGACATGATTAGATGAAGAACATAAACTGAGTGGCAAGGGAAAGCCAGCTTGTCTCCATACACTGACAGATGGTTTTTCGACGGTTAGTGCAAGTAAGAGAATCTTCCTATTTTTCACGCTAAGTAGGGGTCAGGACCCCACTCTCTTAACAGACCCTGCAAGAGTTCAGTCTGTCGTTTCTCAGCTTGGAGGTGAGGCCATCTAGCTCTGTAGGGGCTGTGGTAGTATGGAGAAGCCCCAGCTGGACCCCACTAGCCACCCAAGGCTGTTGCAGTGGGCTAGCCCTGGCTGTACAGAGCATCATGCATGGTGTTGACTTCCAAAAGGGATGAAATGCAGCCTTCCTCAAGAACCATTCCTTTCTGGCTGTGTTCAACAGATACTCAGGCAAGCTGTTTACTGCTAGTGGGGACAGGGCTGCAGGAACTGCAGTCCCAGCAGTGTCCAGACATCCTTGAGCATCTCCGTTAACAGAGAGATTACATGAAACTAGCTGAAAAGTTCTTTCAGACTTTTCTCCTTACCTCCCTAGATTACCTCCTTACCCCAGGATGCCAGTCCTGGATTACCTCCTTACCCCAGGATACTAATCATACAAACAATTGTCTTCTCCAGTCAGCTTCTATGGGGCTGGAAGAAGGCAAAACTAATTTTCCATACTTGCATTTTCAAAGACAAGAGCAACATTGAGAGAGGTCCAGGAGCCTCCAGGAGCCCCTCTTCCAGAGCAGTGATACTATACATTAATTGGACAGCAAGTCTGGTCTGGGAAATCTGGGACATCATAAAGCAGAGTTGGAGCCTGGAGAAATACAGCTTTACTGGAATTACTGCTGCTTTGTATAACTTATTTCAACTGAAAAGTAACAAGCCTATCAGAATCCCACAGCTGGATGTCAGGTACCATGCAGTAGAATTACAGTGCTACTACTCTTGCTCTGGGCCCAGACTTCATCCCTCATCTCTGCCCACTGCGTCAGAGTGAATAAGTTGAGCTACTTCTGCACCAGCACACCTGTGCTCCCAGCTCAACCCAGTTGAGCAACTGAAAAGATGTCTGCCTGGCCATCCTCTCTGCCATCCTGACTGGATGCTTGACACAGCTCATCCACACAGTGCCACCCCTTTGCCTCCTGGCAGGAGCTCAGTGTGGGGTCCCAAGCTGATGAGCAGCATGGTCTACCTTGGCACCTGTGCCCTTGCAGCAGGGCATGCTGCTGGCAGAACACCACAGCAGCACACCCAATCCAGTGTGACGTTAATCAGTTCATTCATTTTCTTCTGCCTCTGTTTCTGTAGCTTTTAAATTTTACTGACATACCTCACATAGCTGAGAAGAAAAAATATTAAATTAGGAGCATATAAAAAGTTGTGGGAAGTTCCCTTCACAGTTTGCTGCTGACAGAGCTGCAGAACTGTCTCCAAAACAATTTACAGGCCCTAGGAATGGCTCACGTTTGCACAAAATATCTGTTGAATCATCCATATCTTTTGACTTCTTAGTTTTACACACCACCAACTCATGATCTCTGTCTAAATGTGTGTATTAGACCAAAACCCAGTAGTGAAAAAAGTAATGAAACAACCCCTTACGTAAACCAAGTATGATCACTGAAAGTTGAAATACGCATTTTTCCTCTGTGGTGCTCACTCACTCCTTCAAGCCAAAACTCCCATTAACTTACACTCAGGACTCTTTCTCAAAGTGCTTATAAGTGCAGGCAATGCATCTCAAGATACCCCTCTCTGCAGCTGAGGGACACCAGCCAAGTCCTGCTCTATGCCACCATCTTCCCCACTTAATGCACACCCTGGGGCAGCCCCAGCACCATGAGCCCAGTGCTCTGTAGCTAGCATCCACGTCCCGGGAGCAGCGCATCTCCAGGTGGCTGGGCTGTGAAGGGAAACTTGCCAAAAGTTACCAGGAGGTCTGTTGCAGTGCTGGAGGCCTGTGAGACCTTCCAGAGGCTGTGTTTCCCTCCAGACAGTGTGGTGCTATGGCAGTTTCTGCCTTGGGTCAGAGGCTGCCCTTTTTTCTCTCTTTGCCTGCTTCCATGGACTTCAGCTCCGACCTCTGAACAAATGTGTAGTCATAATAGACATTGTAACCGCTAATAATAGATACCCCACTTAAAGATACATATAATGGAGGTGAATCCAGTTTTGCAGGTTCACAAGAATTTTTTTATTGGTGGTCTGCTCAATCACATATGGTTGAAAGATAATGATGAAGTGCCCTGAGTGTGAAAAGGACTCTAGTCTAAGGGATACTTGAGCTCCCTCTCTGCCTGCCCCCGTGATTTCTGTGATTGATTATACATATCCTCATCTTAGTTTTAAGCTATTCTTCATTTATTTCATTTGCAACATTTCAAAGTTTTTTTTCCTGATAATTGTTTTATTCCCTGGTCTTCCTTTCATTTGGCAACAGCTGACCTGGCAGCAAGCCCAAAACATGGTAAATGACAAATCACTACCAGATGAAGCTATGAGTTTTACATAGTGCATTTCCTCCGGCCACAGAAAACTTTGAGGCCAAATAAAATCACTAAAGTGACTGACACCAATACCAAGTTTTACATGAAGTCCTCACAGTTACAGAAAACTATGCTATTTGATTCAGAAGCAGTGATAGAAATGCAAATCCATAACAATGCTTCCAGTCATCATCTAATACTTGCTGGCATACTTGGGAGCAGGAAAGTCCATTGTTCCCCTGGGGAGACAGCAGCCACAGACAGAAATGCTCCACAAGAAGCAGTAATCCCTGCTGTATCCTCTCTTATCCATGCTAGACCGCGGCAGCTGTGCCAGGTTACCTCCCTGTGGATGGGGCTTGGAGTGGGTGGTGCTTTTCAAACACAGTCACAGAAAATTTTCCAGCAGTCCAGCATTTTGGGCCAGGGAAAAAAGAAATATTAGAACTTACTGCTGCTAACAACCATAGTAGATCCTTCTCTACAGAGTGCATCTCCTCTATAGTGTGAAAGAAAAGAGGGATGAAGTTACAGTCAAGGCAAAATATGCCTCTTTTGAATGCCCACCAAGTAGGTTGCCATTTCCTTGGAGTCCTCCTCTGTGAAGCCAAGCACTAAAGCTGGAAGGCTCTTAAATGAGAATTTTTTCCTGAACCTTGTTTCACCCTCCCAGGACTGATTCCACAGGACAGTTCTTTTGTTACTCAAAGTTATCAGACAAGATTTGAGATACTCCGTTTTGCAAAAAGGCTTCTCCATTTTTCCTAGATAGACATTTTGAATTGAGGCTGTGACATTTACAGTGCCCTTGGAGCTCATGCATAGAGTTTTAGCACTTTATCTAATTGTACATAGGTCTAAATATCTGTGTAAAGTAATTTTATGGAAGACACAGAATGATAAAGTGGATGTAAACTGAAACCATTCTGAGTCACATAACAC